AGCCTCCTCCTGACAGTACTGACGGACTGCACTCGTTCGGATGGATGATGAGAAAGGAGGTGGCCAGAGATGAGCTTGAGTGCGACACTTGTCAGCAGGCCAAAACTTTGTAGGGAGTTGTTGTGGATACTGGAATGAAACATCTTTATGCTTGCAATCAAAGATGCAGTACATCTGGTCATCAAAGTGATGGTCCATATAGAGCTCCTGAAAGATGTGTCTGGATAGAGCCCCACCACATAGTGGACGATGTTGTAGGTTCGGTGTAGACAGATCGGATAGATGTACTGAAACCTGGGTCTCGTCACTTGGATACTTGTCCGACCAGTGCTGAGGAACAAACGACACGGACCCTGTGAGTGAAGGCAAAAGATCGGTCTGTATTGACATGGAATTGAGCTCGTTGGCGGGTACAGCCCCACTAGATATTGTGAAATGCTGTAGCACAGGTGATGTCGTCGGCAAAAAATTGTTGGATGTCCTTACCTCTGCTATTGTTGCTGGAACATATCGAAACTGAGCATTGGTATGGCACAAGTCGAAAATCAAGTGCAAGGCCTGATGGTGGTGAGGAAATAGCTGAGAATCGAAGTGTAACTGTTCACACAAGTTGGCATTGTAACCCGATAGCATCTCCACAGGAACAATTGGTGGATGTAAACTGTAAGAGCGAATATCAAAGTCGTCAAAGTGCTGTCGAAAATTGAGGTTGTCGACGGGTACAGCCCCACTGGATATGGGAGATTGCTTTGGATCTGGTGGCTCGAACGTCGTAAAGCTTCGTAGCTTTGCTGACCTGGACATTGTCTGATGACGATCATCAGTCACTTGCAATTCATCGTCGGTCTGCGAGAAGGTCGAATTGCTTGGCCAAGAAATGGCAGAATTGATGGTGGTTGGCAAAAATGTGGTTTCTGGGTAGGAATCGTTGGAAGTAATCTCAATATCAAGTTGATCATTATGATTGTCACTTGATGACCAGTGGCTACCCGATGAGGTTGCGATAACAGATTGATTCTGTCGACAATCATAAGGTACTGAGTCCCTGTACATTGGGTTCCTGATTCGGCCATTCATCCCCTTATTGGCGAGAGATTCTGTGAAACCGAATGAAGGGCAAGTATTTGTCTGATGTCTGGTTTTGGTGTGACGAAACGGCTGGGGAGGAATGAAAGCATCTCGTATACCTGATTGGTTGTTCTGATTCAGCCATTCCGGGTGAATTTGAACAGGAGGCATACAACCCAGGTTTTGTGCACAACCAAGAGACTGATCCGAAAAAAGATCCATGTGACATGCATCTGCCCGAAGAAAGCCTAGTGGACTGCGGAAGGAAACCGGCATGTGCAGTTCCTGAAAAGTATTCCCTGTCGTCCCTGGGGACGAGTTGGCTTTTTTGAGGACTCGTGGGTTGATCATATATCGAATGTTGTGGCTATCTGAAATGCTGCTGTTGTAACTGGGTACAGCCCCACTCCATGTGGTAAAATGTTGTGGTCGATGATCCTCTTCGCTGAAGAACTGGCTGGCCAAAACACATTCATCAGCTTTCTGCCGTACACCTTGCTGTGGTAATGACTCTAATGTAGATCGAGCTGGTTGCGAGTCATATGGCTCCAAAAGAGCAGAACGTAGTGGCGTTAATACTCTGATGAGATCCTGAAGTGCTGTTGAAGCAAAATGGTTTAAATCAAGCACTCCGTCTGAAAAGACTAAATCCCCGTGAGGAGGTCGAAAATCTGCGTAATGGTTGATACTGGGTACAGCCCCACTGTATGTAGTAAGATGCTGTGGAAGTAGAAGATCCGGCTTCAGACTGGATAGAGCTGTGTCCACAAGGATTGATCTTTGCTGAGACATCTGTGTGTAGTTCTCCTCGGAGCGTAGTGAAATGCCTCTGAAATGTGCTTTATTGTAGGAGAACCGTTGGCTCTTTTGAGCCCAGTCAAAAAGCGGGAGAGGAGACTGCTCCAAGCATGTGGCATTGCATGCAAGGTCTTTGCGGACCCAGACTGCTTCAGCAATATGACTGGCGCGGAGTTCACTACCCACTGGTATGGCTGGTCTGAAGGATGCCAGGCCCCCAAGGTGGAAGTTGTCAAAGGACGAGTTCGAAACGCTTCGAGGAGATATCAATAGGCCATCTTGTTGTCGTGTAAGAAGTTGATGGGAACTGTTGGTCACCATAGGCAAAATTTGCATCACACGCTGAACATCGCTTTTCCAATGTTGAAGAGCGTGATGTTGTTGATGCCCACCCCCGTGGGGTTCCATGAGGGACTCGAAAATTTGGTCTGGTTCCCATTGCTCATTCAAGAGAGATGAGAAGTCCATAGGGCCACGAGAAAGAACCACGAGAGGTCTTGGAGCACTGACTGTTGAAAAATGGCGAGACCACTCGATATAATCGTGTGGTATCGAAGGCACACTGTCAAAATCTACTGTCTCCTGATCGCCTGAGGTTGTAAAATCGGGTACAGCCCCGCTATTGATGGTTTGATATGGTGGTCCAGGAGCGAGTCGATCGTGATCATTCTTGTGACAGAAGCCTGTGTGCCAAATCACTGGTGTGGGTCTTGATTGATCCAAGAGATCTGCCGGGGTGGGTCTGGGATTCTCTATTGTTTGGACCTCAAAAGTATTCAATGCTCCAAGATTGGTAGTAACATGTGACGAAGCAATCTCGTGTTGATTAACACAAGATGGACACTTTGGCTGGAACAGTGGCAAACAAGGAGGAATGAGGACATCTCGTACAGTTGTCAAACGAACTGTACAACTTGCTTGAAATGCTGTCCAGCAATGAGGAGTGGATGTAAAAGTAGACGTAGTAGGAATATCAATACGATTGGCCTGATGAATTACATCATGATGATCGGCATGCTTTGGTGAACCAAAAAGGTCCCCTTGAATTGGAGAGACTCGTATATTCGATGATGGCAAGTCCGGCGGTGGATGGAATGGAGTCTCAAACAAAATTGCAGTAGCTGACTCATTCATTTGGGTGTTCGTATGTTGCTCCCCTCGTTCAACCCCAAAATGACGAAAGAAAGACTCAAGTCTGGCGCGACAAGATGGGCGTAGGCCTAACACATCGTTCCAACAGGACTTCGTGTTTACGGTGGACTGAGTGAAACTGAACCTGAATCCATCTGAACACGACCCCGTTGGCAAAGAAGTGACAATGGCCTTGAACCATGTTGAAACACGATGCAAAAGGGTAGGTTGACCCTCTGGTTTCATCAAGTGACAACCTGACGGTGATTGAGGAGGATCCGTCCTTTTGGTACGCATCTCTGAGGATATGAAATGCGCACCCCATGGTTCACAGTACTGGTCTTCGTGAACATTCATGGGAGAGCTACCAGTCATGTCGTGGTGCACATATGCATAGGCCCACGGTTCTAACATCAGAAGAGGGTCATCCTGTGTGGCAATCTGAACTCCTTCTACATCACAATGTGACGTAAATGTCGCGTCAAGGTCAACATGGCATGTTGGAGGTGAGGTCAGGTTCCCCAAAGGCTGGCCACTTGGTGCAAATGCCGTGGCTTTCCCTGAAGCTGTTGACCTTATGTCAGCGTCGCCAGACTGTTTCTGGTACTCAAAGGTTGTCTGTGTATCAGTCGATGATAGGTTGGCAAAGCGCCAGCACCAAGGTTCCCACAATGCCGTGTCTTCTTGGATGAGACCAAATCCTGTCACCAACTCTGAACGGGCATAGTCTTGTGCCCAAGGCTCGAAGGTCTCTAGAAGAGGCCGATAGGATGGATCTGTACAGCCGGGAAGGATGTTTGGCTGGTCATTCATCAAAAATGGATCCGGCAAATTCTGGTTGTTGACTGACCTGACAACACCCATCTGAAGACATCCTCCAATTTTCCAGGTAAACATCTGCGAAGACTCGGAAGTGCTCATGCATGCCAGAATGGAGTTAGTCACTTTCAAAGTGCAGTGCGTTCCATCTGTCTTCACACATTCGATCACTGCAAAATCTCGATGTCGATGGATGGCACGTCGTGGCAGAATTTCTTCTTTGAAACCACCTCGCCAATGAGTATCTGCACGAAACGAGTGGCGAACGATGCCATGGCAGACCCCGAAAAGGGCTCTCATGGCCCAATTCGTACCCCCACTCGAGAGTGGAGGTAACAGGCGCGCCGCGTGAAGGCTTGGGCCCAGACGCCTCTGGCCTTACTACTAGGAGCAAGGACGCTACTAGGGGCTCCTGGCCTTACTACTAGGAGCGCTACTAGGGGCTCCTGGCCTTACTACTAGGAGCAAGGACGCTACTAGGAACAAGAATCAGGGTGAAGAGAAATATCCCATGCGGGGCTGGAACCCCGGGCCGTTGATGAAGGGTACGAATTCGTGGGTGCCAGGTGTGTGTGGCGGGCAGAGAGACAACGGTCACATGATTGCTCACCGGCACGAAAATGAGCTCCTGTAAGAAGCCAGCAACGAAGTGGATTGAAGGTGGCGGTGTCATTGGTCGTATGAAGCCCCCCCTTGACTATTGGTGCACTTGCTGCACTCAGTACAGGAGACAAATGGACGAGCCTTGGACTGAATCGCCTACCAGTCTCCTACTACGTATGTTCAGGGCGGGTGTGGGGAAGAAGCTATTAGGTTGAAGTCCATGGCTATTGGGTTGGAGGTCATTGAAACAAATAATGTTTTGTTTTTTCCACAGATAGCGTGAGCTATTGGGGTTCATACTTCAAGTATAGGAAGAGCCGCATGTGTGCGTTTTCGACCTGCTGTGTGCGCTTGGGAGCTTGGGTGCTGGTGCCTTGCCGCTGCTGTGTGCCCATCCCACTGTTGTTCGGTTAGAAGCAACGGTGTGCAAAGCCTGAAAAGTGTCCAAACCACTTAATCCTACTTAATCCTTTGGTTTTTCATCTACTTGTTGTCCATCTATTGGTTTTTCATCCCACTGAATCCTTCCGACTGCCCGGTCATTCAGCCTAAGACGCGCCAGACGCGATGCCCGCGCCAAGGCCATGGTGCAGTTCTCGCAGACCACCTTCAGCGACTATGCACGGCTCACGGAGGTGAGGTGAGTAGCTCGATGGTCATACTAACAAAGAAGCTACTAGGGGCTCCTGGCCTTACTACTAGGAACAAGGGCCTTACTACTAGGAACAAGAAGCTAGTAGAAACAATGTATAAATAGAATTCAATTAGAATCTAATTAAAATTAGTAGCAAAGAAGGCTACTAGGACCTTTTCGTGGGGGGCGGGGGGTAGGAACAAGGACGCTACTGGGGGCTAAGGGCATCCCTACTAGGACCAAGAACGCTACTAGGGGCTCCTGGCCTTACTACTAGGAGCAAGGACGCTACAAGGGGTTCCTGGCCTTGCTACTAGGAGCAAGGACGCTACTAGGGGCT